CAACCTCAATTTTAGAAGCTTCCCAAAAATAATTTTAATTATATATCTTTGTATGTAAATAATACAAATATCCTATCCATGCTTTATTACAATAATATTTTTTATTAGTCAATTTATTATATCTATAATAATAAATGAAAATATTTGCAATGGTCGATTTTTTTTTTTGAAAAAAATATTGGTACACATGCAAGAAATTTCAAATATCAAATAAGATTCTTTATAGGATTTTTTGTCAATATATTCTTTAGAAGTAGTAAGTTTGTTTTGCAATAAGTTGTAAACTGATCCAAATGGTTGTTAACCTATTTTTTAATGGTCAATTGCACCGTCATAAGATTGGTATGGATATGATTCATCAATATTATTCTTCTTAAATACATCTTTATATTATTTATATTACTTTGGGATTTCACTCCAGCTTCTAATTAAATTAGTACTTGATGTTGCATAAATGATTATATATATATATATATATATATATATATATTTTCTAGCTTATATAAATACCTTAGCTCTTACAAATAGTTGCTTGAATTTAACAAATTTTTAATTAAGAAAATGAAAAAAATTAGTAGAAGCTAACAAGACATAAGTAAAAATTAGAGGTGTTTAGATCTTTAAAATACTTATATAAAATTATATTAATAATTAAAACATTAAAAAAATAATACAAAGCCTTTATAAAATGATACAAAACAAGAATCAAATTTCACCATTTCAAATGTTATTGAATAAAATTTTACTCCAATACTATTTTTTAATCAAATTTTATTTCTAATATTTTGATTTTTTTTCTTTTTAAGATAATATCTAGAAAAATATTTTAAATTTCTACAATAGAAAATTATTCCTTATTGATATTAAATTTTTACTAGTATTTTAAGAAATTTAAAATATGTTGCATCAATTTACATGTCTTCCACATATATACTTAGAAAAGAAGTATCAAAATGATAATATATAGCTTATTGATCAAAATTCAAAAAAATAGTTATTATAATTGAAAATAAAACAATTCGCTTGATTCAAAGATTGAGAATCAAAAAAATTAAACAACAATTTCTTCACATTGAATTATATCCTATGAAGAAATTATTTGATAAGTGCAGCATTATTCCATTTGACAATTACAAATAGTCAAAATTGTACTATACATATCAATACAAATTAACTTTCTTAACATAAAATTTGGATATAACTAGTTATTATATAAATTACATTATTTTCTCCATATGTAGATTAAAATTTCATCTAAAATGTATCTAAATTTTCCAATATAATTTTTTATTTTTTAAAATATTAAAAAATAATAATAAATAATAATAAATAGATTTATTGAATAAAATTCTAATAATTATAATTCAAGATGCTTATACAGGATAACTAAGAGATTGGAGTTTAAACTATATATATATATATATATATATATATATATATATATATATTTGATAAATCTTCAATATTTGGATCTAAAAGCATCAAATTTTTCCACAAGAATAAATTTTAAGTCTCTTATAAATTCAATTGTGTAATTTACTTCATGTAATAAACTTAGTAAAGAAATTCTAATTATCTCTATGTCTTTTTGATAAATCATTCTTAATATTGATTGATATAATAGATAAAATTAATGCATATTAAATATTATATATCACAATTTTTTTTATATCTTTACTATGGTATTCTTTATTTCTATTAAATATTTTATCAAATGAAGGACTTAAAAATTTCTATACAAGAAAGAAAAAAAAAAACTAAAATAGTATTGCAAGAACATTAATAGTTAAAAGAAATATAATTTACAGTCTTTAAAGTACTATGATGCGTTCAAAAAAAAAAAAAAAAAAAAAAAAAAAAAACTTTAAATCTTAAATGTTTAACTTAATCCAAATAAGAACTTATTAATAGAACTAAAATTAGTATATTTTTTTAATCTATATTTGATAAATATAATAGAAATATATATTGAATAATTTTTTGCTTCATAATCTTTATGCATAACAATAAAAATCTCTCAAAATTGTACATTGGTCTATTGGTCTTTTTATTTAGATACCATTACAAACTGAAGTTTCATATTCTATCTCCATGTATTGAGTTGTTCTTTTCTAAGGTGTTTTTCCATATTTCCTTTTTGGTATTATAAAAAAAAAATTAATAATAAGATACTTAAGTAAAATAGGAGTTTTATCAAAGTAAAGAAATTAGTTGAAAATTTAAAAAATATAAGCTAATTAGTTCTTTTAAGCATAAGGATTCAAATATATATATATATATATATATATATATATAGTAAAATAATTACATATAAAAAGTTCCAATTGATGGTAGACAAGCCTCTCATAGGATTTGTGGCTTATTCTTATGTCTCTTTGTTTGATCTAAAATCTTTTTAATTACAACTCAATTAATCAAATTTATATTATTTAATATTTACTTAGAAATTCCATATGTCAAGGCTTTATATCAATTAATTCAATCTAAAATTAAATTTCTATAGATTCTAGTATTAGATTAATATATACTAAACTTAGTCTCTTTTAAGATCTAGAGATGGAATTTTATATGTATGTAGATTTATTACTAGAAAAAGCAAGACCTTAATCTTGCATATCACTTCTTTTGTTATAAATCTCAACATGTTAAAATGAAAAAATATGTTGGTGAAATGAGAATACTAAAGTTAACTTGAAAGAAGTAATAGAAAATACTTTGACAATCTAGTCATATTGTAGAAAAATGAGTAATAGTAATTTAATTGCATTGACTCTTAAAGAGTTTTATAACAAAATTGTATCCTTTCTAATGTTTAAAGTATTAGAAATTTATTTATTTCAAACTTAAATCATTTAATTGACACAACTACAAACATTGACAAGAAAAATAAATAAACAAATAAATAAAATTATTTTATTTATAAAAACTACAAATTTTATGGAAATAAATCTTCTAATTTTATACTAATAACTAGACTATAAATTTTTAATACAAGATAGATTTTATCCTAATCTTCAGAAAATGTCTTAAAAGTAGTTATTTTGTGTCAAATCAAATTGTACTAATATAGCCAAGAAATTACAACTTCTATTTTTAAAAAAATATATAAAATATATATATTCTAAAAATAAATTCTAATTTTTAAACTATTTTATTTAATAAGAAAATAAACCAAAGGTATAAATATTATTAAAAGAATTTAGAATTATAAACATACAATCAGCCAAAAACATAGAAGACCTATTAAAAAAGATAATCATAATTTGATTATTTAAGATTTTATTTCTTTTATTTTAATAATCATCAAGAAAGTAAGATCTTTTCATTAGAATAATAAACTTAATAGTTTAATATTTAAATTTAAGTAATATATATATATATATATATATATATATATATAGAAAAACAAATCTAAAAATAATTAATAATTTAAGAATCAATTCAAGCTATATAGACTCAATAGACTTTAGTACTATAATTGAAAAAATTGCTACAAAAACCAAAGATAATATTATTGGCTCTATTCTAAAATGATTGATCTTATTTATTGATTATATTTGTAATAATAGATTATTAAGTATAATATTTAACAACACATCCATTAATATTTTTTAGAATAACTAATTTAAGTTTTACAAATAAATTTGATAAAAAAGAAAAAATAAAATAAAAATTAATCCAAGACTTCTTTCTTGCCAATCATTGATAGAACTTGATTGAAAATTAAAATATAATGGAATGGAAAAAGAATAAATTATTCTTGTGCAAAAAAGACATCACTATTACAAAGCAATTTTCTTAAAAAGATTTAGAAGAGCACCCAAATTTTGTAGATTTCTTGTCTTTTAATAATACAATTAAATTCTTTTAGAACAATTGCTAAGATGGAATTAGATCCCTTGTATGACTAAAATAAATCAATTAAAATATTTATCCTATTCACATCTTAGAATATAGAATTAGAAGTGGTGGTTTTTCATATTATTTTTTAATAACCTTGTAGAACAATCAACCACACCCTACAGACCTCACAAATGTTATTAATTAAATAAATATTTTTAGACCATGAAAAGATCCAACTCACTTCATAAATATTATAAATTCATCTAAGAATAATTCTCTTCAATATGAATTTTGTAAAGTCTTTTGCTAATACAAGCACATTTATAAAAACCAAGCATAGAATTACAAAGATCTTATAGGCAATTATAAACCAATTATCCTATGAAGCACTACTAAGAAATCTTTGCTTAGGTATTAAGATTAAGGAGATTGTTATTAATTTTATATTACCTCAATACATTAATAAGAACAAAAATTCATTGAGATTTTCTATGATTTTGAAAAACACAGTATTAAAATTAATGTATAAGTGTCCATTAACAATAGAAAATAAAAATTATCTAATTATGATACATAAACAATAGCCAAAATACTTAAAGACAATTCACATGGGATTCTTTTAGCTACTATTGAGTTTTCAAACCTATTGTTTTTAATATCTAAAAACTGATGGTTACCTATTCTAAAATCCAATAAAAATAAATAAATAAATAATTGATTGCAAGCTAGTGATTGCAATCAAATTATATTCATACAAAGAATTACAATGTCTATTTGACCTAATACAAGGATGTTTCCGTTGTTATTTGTTATTGTTATTAATATTCATTGGAGTACACACTACAGTTTGTAAAATTAAAGAACACACTGCGTTGAAGAAATAGTGTCTTCATGTTATGGAGACAACATATACAAACTGTTCACTTATATGAATACAATTTCTCAAGAATTTTGATGGTATGTCGAGTGTTGACCTTGGGAAATGTTTTGCTTCATAAGCACAAAAGTAATGTTCTAGTTCTGCCCATTTTTGCTTCAATCACGGGTTCTGATTCAACATGAACTTGAGACAGAAATGACACTCCCAACCACGACAATCAAACAAAACTAGTTCCTTCACAAGTGAAAGCGTGAGTCCCCACTCCATGAAAGCTTAATTGAGATGGCACAGCATAAATGTGGCAACCACGTCTCCGAATTCCAATTGAGTTGTTCCAAGCTCATCCACCTCAAACTAAAACTTTGAACTGGTTTAGTAGTTGAAAAAAAAAACTTAAGAAGGAAAAGCGTATTTCTTGTGCTCTTCACAGACAGCCTATCTCACAAAAACACCTCATTAGTGGATGCACCTCTCAGGTAACAGGGTATCTAAACAGAGGGAAATTCAATAGGTCTGCAGAAAATATCTAGGTTTGAACGACGTGGTATAGTAGCTGTACTATAATCAAAGGTACAGCTTATGTTTCACCAAGACATCAGCAACTTTTTAAACAAATGTCTCGAATTCGAATCAAATATGAACCTGTAATGCTAACCGAAGTAGGAAGGGCCACGGCAATTTTACCTCTATCACTGTCACTAATAACTGTAAACATGTTACACCTCTACATATAAAATATATGCACGATTAAGTCAAAAATACATGTAAAATTCTAGATAAATTTGGAAAGAAAAAAGCTACAGAGCAGTGTCAATTGACTTGCGCATAGCAGCAGGCTGAACATCTATGCCATTGCTCAGAGAGTCAACTTTGATGATCAATGGCTGTCGAACATCCGACAGATTGTCAGTGACACCAACAGCTTCTGCAGCTGCGGTCAATGATTCATCGTCACCTCCATTTTCATCAATTGCATTACGCAGTGCATCCTTTGCAATGCGGGTGATCAAAATCCCAACCACAACTGCACAATGTGACCATTTTTGTGTTAGATGCAACTATAAAAAGCAACTTGAATTGTGTACTTCAATGCTAGATAATAATGGCAATCGGGGAGCAGTGTATTCGATTGATGCTAGAATAATTGAACTTGCAAAATCACGTTCCATATTTGAAAGTCACCTGTGGTTGCGAGGCCAACTGCTAGCATTATCTGCAGATACGGTCACAACATAATACAAGTTTCATCAAAAACAAATTCAGCATACAATCTAATTCTGCAAATTGTCGACGTACATTGGTCACTCGTAAAAGCTCATTAACCATCAGAACAATTACGGCAACAGAGAAAAGACTTAATTGAAAGTCCACACTTAATAAAGATACTTACAATGCGAGTTTTGGTGAAATGTGATTCACCATGAGTTATGTCAGCAATGTCTTTGATTGTTGTACCCACGTACACGAATGCCAATGTGCTAGGCTGCAATAGCGATGGCAGGACCAGATAAATGTATATGTAACGGCTAGGATACAACATTCTTCTCCATTTAACGAGATGCATGGTCTGCTGAAGAACAGAAGATATGGAACAGGATAAAACCATATGACCACAGGAAAGCCTGAAATTTAGGCATTGGAACGCAATACTGTAGGCAAGTGGACTATGATGCAAGGACAAAGCATTGTACCATCATGCCAATCCACGAAGCTATGATGTAGGTGGTAATGCCAATGGGTGTGACCGACAGGAGGTAATTCAAGACATTGAAGGGTAGCAGCGGCACAAGCCGCAACAATAACACGATCTGCACAAACAAGCACGACTCGTTAACACTTTTTTCCAATATTGGTTTCTTCAATGCTACACATAAATGAACAAAAGAATAGTTGATAAATATAAGGCACTATCAAATATTTATGAAAGGAAAACATTCAAACCTTAAAACCGGATTTGCGAACAGCAACCGCAATGGCTTGAAATTGTGGGTAGTCCTTAAGTTTGGATGTCACATACGATCTTCCAATCTGTAACATTTACAAATTAGTGTCTGTCCATCACAAGTGCACAAGATTTGTGAGCTGATTAGCGAATTATGAAGGGCGAAAATGATAGTGTTCCAGCACAAGATCCTGTCACGGGACAAGTCAGACTGAACAGGCAGTCAACAGCAGCGCAGTGTGTGACTTCCAATAGGGAGAATTTTAGGCACTAATTTAGTGTCTAACCTTAATACTGCAGATGACCAAATTGTTCCAAATTACACAAACTTCAAGATGAAGTTCCTAAAGCACATATACCACTGTACACAATTACACAGAACTTGCAAACAAAATGTACGAGACAAATACGGCACCAAGCATGATGACTTGACAAATATAGTATCACTGAGAAGTTTAGGCTCACCGTTCTTCCAACCCAAAAGGCAGCAGTAGCACCCATAGTAGATCCAACAGAATCCGTCAAAAAACCTAGCATCAAGCCAAACAGGTAACCTCCACCTAGCTGTCACAATCAGAGGCAAGCTTCAATAAAGTATTACATGATGCTTTCCTTGGCAACAGGAAGAACAAGCCACTAAGTCAAAGTGCTCACACTTACGATGCTCCCCTCTGAATGGCCTTGCTAATATTTTCTAGAAAGATAATTCTCTATGCAGTGGTCAAAGAGTGTGGAAGAGTTCACTACAAATGACTTTACAATTTCTAACTCATAATCTATGAACGGCATTAGCAGTAAGAAGTGACCTCAGAAAAAGAAAAAGAAAACCAATACTAAATACAATTCAAAACGACTTGACTGTACACTTGTCCGCACCTAAAAAAAATAGAACAAAAAAGCAGAGTAATTGGTGGGGTTCAATATCTACGAGGTGATTACGATGAGTTGCGGAAATGTAGTGGTACCGTAAGGATTGATGCCGGAATAGCCAAAACTGTGCATGGAATGTACGCCAATGCTCTAGAAAAAGCACCTGCTGCTCATTAGAAATTCAATACCATTGCCTCTGTATGCAAGGAATAAGGGCAAGTGAGAATAAGAAAAGGAGAAGAGTGAGGTGATAGTGACTTACAAGATGATCGGGCCCCAAGGTCCAACATCCTTCGACACCCAAATCAAGAATTTGTTCAAAATCTGCATCCACGTGTAAAAGAATCATTCTCTAAATTGCCAGGTCAAAATCCAAAGCAGCAAAAGTAGAAACACTTATGAATCCCATGATCATTTAAAGCCTCTAAGTCGTCTGCCGAACAAAGTTACCAGAAGCGAGATAGCATACTGACAAGCGAAAGAAGCTTTCCATAATATTTTTGATGCTAAAAGCGCATGTGAACAGTACCTTTTCAACAAAATGAGAAACATGTGGCAACTGTGCGATGGCGAGAAGGGTAAGTAGCACTGCAAGGACACATACAACCGATCGCCACAAGTTTGTAGCCATTTTTACTGTCCAGCGCTAGTGGCGTGCGTTTTCCAGCTAGCTGAACCCACAAGTGAGCGGAATTCGCCAGAATCAACACTACATTATGCAATCTGTCTACACCTTCCGCATCGACACATAAAACTTTCTTTCCTAGTGGCAATTTCAGAACTTCCTTGCTTCACAAAGAGAGCCTTGTATCCAACTGTAAATAATCTTTTGTTTCTATACGGATTTTCCTATTATACGATAGTAAGCATAACTTCTATTCACTTCTCATGTAAAATCGAACTATACAAACTCTGGTTAAATAAAACCAAAACTCCGATAGAAACCCGCCCCTCCATTCCAATGGTTGCCTTGATAACATAATCAGAGAAGCATCTTGATCCGCTACAACCTAATTGTAAACCCCGTCAACAGTAGAATCCATCGGAAAGCCGGCGATGGGACTGCTCAAGAGTTGAAAAACTCTGCATGGCTTGAGCCGCACTATGTAAAACTCTGGTCTCTCCAATCTTGTTAGAATTCAATGTACCACCGGCCTCTTCGACCTAATCCCTCCGCAGGCAATTTTCAAAATGTGACCCACTTTGCATTCACGATTTCTGATGAAAAATCTCTACGAAGGCCATATATCATAATATACAAATCCGAAAATGTTCAAATCTTCATAGACATTCACCAATACGGAACTTCAATTCATCTTCCTGCAAAATCCGCAAATAAAGGAGAAATTCAATTCAACGGAGACTCGACGCCAACAAAGATAATGCGAACACTCACTCCAGCTCAATCCACCACCAAACCAAGAGATCCCGGAGACGCACTTCCCAAATGTTACTCGAAATCCACGCTACCAGATCCAATCCAGTATCACAAAAACAATCTCCACATCGCCGCAAAAAATTAAAAAAACCCTAACATGAGGCTCACACGAAGCTTGCAACTACACCAAGGCATACCCTTTCAGACACTGAGAAACTTTGCTCGCTCGCATTCGGGTAGCTGGACTAGATCTCTCTCCCACCTCTCTCAACTCCGCGATCCGAACACATGACCCAAACGGAGAAGTGAAGCAACCATCGCTGACAGGTAGGATTGGCAGGCACCGTAACCGGGATCGATCAACTCTCAAGGCGTGTGATGTTCTGCAGATCAGCAAAAACCCGTTGCAGCGGGAACCGTGTTCTTGACCAAACGACTTACCCAATTTGTAATTTCACTTTTTCGTGTAACTCCCACCGACGCTTAAAAAACCTCAAAGAAAACGCAATTTCCATTCAATCTGCACAGTTTGAATGGGAATAGTAACTTCCGGCGGGGATTCAGGAGCCACCGGCCATGTGGATGACGACGATATTGATGGTGAGGCTGACCACTGCAACAGATGAATGTTATTGGTATAGGATGAATGTAGGTCGGCTCTAGTGCGTGCATTCCAATAATAGTACTGCACGGGACTTTGCTTTTAGGAATTAACTTGCTCTCTTGCGCCAAAAGGCAGTTAGACACGGTTATAAGAAAAGGAGCCTGAGCGTGCCAAGTACACCATCGACTAACGACTAACAAGTAAGACTTAAGCCTATCCTACAAGCCTTGAATTCCAAATAAATCTCAACTATAGATATAAATATTTTTTCCAAACCCATCATTTTTCCCTTAAGCCAACTTAGCTAGGGCCTCTGTCTTATAATTTTTCTTTGGAATTCATTAGTACTACTAACCTTCATTTATTTTGTATTTTTTTTAAGAGAATGTTAACTAGATCCATGTTTTTAATAAATTGGCCTATCTGTGATGAAGAATATGGTAATCATGATGAATGTGGTTGGATTTCATTGGTTTTGGATCTAGTAGTGGAGAAATGAATGTAGAGGCCATTTTTTTTCTCATGATGGTTAGGATGGGTGGATCAATTTAGTAAAAGTTAGGGTCTATTAAGATTCCCCCTTTTTTTTAATACTCAATATAAGAATTTGTTAATGTTTAAGTAGGCAAAATATATAGATCTAGAAGTGGTTCTTTCAAATTAAAGAGGCAATAGGCTACATGCTATATCTCAATTGTAGTTTTTGTCTTTTTTGGCAACAAAATACATTTTTTTTTTGGCTATACCTCTATTTTAAAAAAATTAAATTAAAAATGATATTTATGTACATATGTGTGTATATATTTATAAACATTAATTTTTTTTTAATTATTGTGATTTCATCTTAGAATAACATATATTACAATTATTTAGTAAATCTTTCTTTAAAAAAATTGTATTATTGTCTGAATTGTTGTATTTTTTCGTTTTTTTTAAATATAATTTTTTTTTGTTCAAGTCAAAAACATTTTTTATAGGATTAAAGTATATGCGTGTGATTATATTTATTTAAAAAAAATTTAAACGTAGAAAACTAATAAATATTCTATTTCATGAATATTTTACTTTGGTTTTACACATTTTGTACTCTGTACATAAAATTATTCTTTCAACAAATAGGTTCTTTTGCATTTTGGTTTTTTACTTGTTTCAAAATCATATCATTTCCAGTTCTTGTAACTTAACATTTGGAGGATTTGAATGAGTTTATATGTATCATTAATAATTTATTCCGTGTTTTCATGCAAAAAAAAATCTAATGTAACAATTACCTCCTTTTTACAGAATAGATGATCATTTCACTAAGTGTTCAAAAATTGTATAAACTATTACACAAAATCATAGCACTTATTTATTTTTCGAACTTGTAACAAATTTATTTTTATTTAAAATTTTTTGCATCACTGTGCTTTAAAATGAACACTCTGTACCAAACCCAAAATTATGATTCCACAGTCACAAAAATCGTTTCATCAGCATAAAAACCGACAAAAAAATTGATGTCTGTGATGCCTCTGCTTGAAGGCCTTGGACATATGACAGGAAAAATACAACATAATGTATTATGAGGATAGTGTGAAGAATGGGTGTAGGGGATATACGGATGAATGAAACATGAATGTGCTAATTACCCAATCCAAGAAGAACAGTGAAATTTGAAGTACTGGATGAAAGTTGTGGATGAGAACAGAATCAAGTGAGAACCGGACACAGACCACTGCCGCTTACCCTTCACCCCATGCTCCAAGCTCACGTCGCTTCTCATCTCTTGAAGCACCGCCTCCGCCTCTTCGTTCAATTCTTCCCCGCTGCAATTGCTCCAAGTTTCACCAAATTTGGCTCATGTCCGCGATCATGGCCACCGCGGCCTTTCGTAGCCCTTCTTCACACAGGGATTCGCAGCAGGAGATGATCGCAGGTGTGGAGCAAGAAGTAAAAGGGAAGGTGAGTCAGGGCACCAGGATGAAGGAAATTGGTCATGGCGATGGCGAGAGCGGGAGGGAGAGCGAGGAAGCAAATGAGAATTCGATGGATGTGGCATTGCGGGACGCGGGTTTGGTAGGGCATATTGTGCAGGCTTTGGAGAGCGATGTGGACCGGCATTCCGCGGCGTTAGTGTGCAGAGTGTGGAATGAGGCCGTGGCTTGGGGCGCGCACAAGCTTGTGGTGAGGTGTCGGAAGTCGCTGGCGAAGCTGGCGCTGCGATTCTGGCACATTACAGATTTGGATTTGTCCAAATGCACAAATCAGCTGGAGGATCGGGACCTTAAGGTTGCCGCGGCGGCATTTTTGCGGCTGAAGTCATTGCGAATTGGGCATGTTGATCAGATGAAGTGTAAGGTGACGGAGGCGGGCGTGATGGCCTTTGCCGAGAGTTGTGTGGATTTGGAGCATGTGCGATTGTCTTCGTTTCCAGTATTACGCGATGGCGGATTGAGTATGCTTATTCAGAGGTGTGCTAAGTTGCGTATGTTGCACCTAGAGAGTTGTAGAAGCCTAGGAGACGAGTCCTTGGAGGCTATTGCGGGGTGTCGTGAGTTGCAGGAGCTCAGCTTAAGAGGAGAATTTAGGTTTACGTCGTCGGGTTTAGCGGTGATTGGTGCCAAGTGCGGAGAATTGGTGAAATTGGTGCTAGAGCTCGGCGCCGTGAATATTGACCCGGTTTTGAAGTCTGTCGCTCATGGCTGCCACAGGCTTCGAGATGTATCACTCAAGTTTAAGACTGCAAAGCTGCGGGAGCTTTCGCTGTGCACATCTCTTCGTTCACTGGCTTTTGAAAGTGATGAAGAGGATAGGTTGGATGAGGCTGTGGTTGCTATCGCAACCTCCAACAGTAATCTAATTGAGCTTACGAGTGTCAATCGGCTCAGCGACTTCGCGGTAACTACAGTGATTCTGAAGTGTCCAAGGCTACAAGCTCTGCACCTGGACGCAATGAATGTTACGGAGGGTGTTTTACCCTATATCCAGCAGTGCAAATTTCTTTCAGATCTTTCTCTTGATAATTTTCAGAGCACTGGGCAAGGGCTTGCGGAAATCGGGCTGTGTGGACTAGATTTTAAGAAGTTTTCTCTTTCACATGCCCGGGGAGTCCGAGATGTGGAATTGGAAATTCTGATTCATGGTAACGTGCAACTGGAGCAGTTGAACCTTCGAGGCTGTGTTGGCCCTACTGCAATCGGCTACTCTGGCATTGCTTTGTGCTCTAATTTGCGGCATCTTGATTTAAGTTTCAGTACGGTGGATGACTTGAGTCTCATCAGCATAGCCAGTGGGGTGCAAAATCTTAAACAACTGACTATTGTGAAATGTGAGGGCATTACTAACATGAGTGCTGTTGCTCGATTCACTGCATTAGAATCTCTTACACTTGATCATTGCTCCTTCGTTACTGACGAAGGACTTGATATCTTGTCTCGGAAATGCACCCGGCTCATGCATCTCAGCTTGGCTTTTACCAGAGTCACAGACGTTGGTTTGGACAATATAAGCAAGTGTGAGATGCTACGAAGCTTGAGAATACCTTATTGCAAAGGTGTGCAGGGAGCAGGAGTAGTTATTGTAGCCAGGACTTGTGGATGGTTTCAACACGTCGTAATGAGCCATCGATTCCAAGGGTCCCGTACTGCAGATACGCTCAAACAACTTTGTTGCACTGTGCGCTATGAAATGGATGAGACGGCCCTAGTCCCTTTTGATGGGAACCTTATTTTTTTCTGAGCATTTGAACTCAGCAACTAGTCCTTGCAACTTCTTTGTAACGTGCAGATCAGTTTAGCTAAACATGAAATGTTCGTTATCAGAGACGAGTTTTTTTTTTTTCTTTTTTTTTTTTGATCTGTTCTGTTCTGGAGGAATTTTGTCGTACTATATGATCACTTGTATGTTGCAACTTGTGATTTAATTCATGTCTTTGAACAGGTTGTAGTCTTATTCAACGTTAATGACTTTCATCCTTTTCGATCGTATTTCATGAACAGCATCAGAAATCGCGCTAGAAAGAGTTGCAAATGCAAGCTTTTATGTATTTCAAAAAAAAATCTATATTTTTATTTTTTGTATATTTAGCACCAGTAATTCAGATTCTGAACTCGTCTCTACTTGTTGCTTCTCATGTGGCAACTCTTACCAACATGTGACAGTTGGAGACGTGCGGGACCTGGGGGATGGGACGTTCAAACTTTCCATTGCTCGTTACCATGTAAACAGGGCCTGCAGTTCTGGATTACAATTTAGGAATGTGTAAAGAACTACTTCAAGATCTCCCAGGGCATGAATAGTAAGTAGCTAGCGGGTAGCGACGAGTTCATAAGCTGCGCGTAGCAAGCGTCTCGAGTTGCGATTTAGTATAGTTGATATGAGTTATTGTATCGCGATTGTTGTCAACCAATTTTAAGGTAACGTCTTGCACCGCGTTAGTCCTGCCTCTTGCCATACTGGAGTATTCCAGACATATATACCAAGAGGCGCGCATCTCCCTTAACGCTCACTACACAGACCCATTGCACGACGCGTGACTCTGTAAGACTCCAGTAAGTACCTTCCCCCACACCCCTTCCATTTCTCAAAACTAGAGGTTTCTCTTGTCTATTACCTGATTTTGTGTCATTATGCGTCCAATGATTTTCGAACTTTTAATAAGATTTGCAAAATGTAATGCACCTACGATCCTACTCATTAGACAAATAGTAAACGATTTTGGGGGATTAATAACTTAATGCAGCATCATATCAAGTTGGAACCACTGGTCTGAAGAAAATAATAGATTGCATTAAATTCTTCAAAAGAGGTAAATTGAGATACATAATGTATAAAGACCTAATCCTAAAATACCTTATTCCAATTTTTGTATTTTGATATTCACAATTTTTCTCCATCCAATAGATTTCTTTAAAGTATTTTATAGTATTTTGAATGATGTCTTGAAAAATCTCCAAATGAGTTTACAATAAAAAAACATATATTTATTTAAAAAGAAAGTTTAATATATATATATGTATATTCCCTTTAATATTTAGCATATTAGAATCAGTTTTAAAAAATTCAATCTTTATAGATATTTTATTATAATTTATCTTATAAGCAACAATCAGATTGACAAAACAAAAGAATGAGTTTTTTTTGTATTTACTATAAAATAAACAAAGTAAACACATAATTATATTTAATCTGTTAATAAGTCACATCAATGCAAAAATACAATCTATTAAACATGTTTAGTACCAAATGTAGGCAAGTATACAATAAATAAATATAAAATATATAAATTTTATATTTCTCATTTTAAATTTCAATTATATTGTGTTGGCCCAATGAGCCACATTATTTGCACAAATTAAAGACAAATATGAAAAATAAACACAAAGGATTTCCTATCATATAGTAATGCTTCAAAATTGTATTAAATTGTACACTCCATAGTGGGCATATAATAAAAAACTTCTAAAACCCAATAAGATGGGTGGATGAAAATCCCAACCTATCTTATACTAATTCTTAGAACAACAAGAATAAGTATTAACTACCAACCTCCATGCTAATCCAAATGTCATGCCAAAACAATTGTTTATTTGTTGCTCAGAAACATACTAGTTATTAATACATTCCACCCTTTACTGCTTTAATCCTACATTATTAGTGTTCAAATTTCGACCTCCAATTGCACTCTTTTAATATTCTTTAAAATGCTCTAATATTTTAGGGGAAGGAAAAAAACTCATGCTTTTACTAAATAGATCCACCCTCAATGAAGAATATGATAATCATGAAGAATGTGGTTGGTTTTTATTGGTTGCAGATCCAATAATGGAAAAATAAATGTAAAAATCATTTTTCTTTTTCTTTTTCATGATGGTTAGGATGGGTTGGTTGATTTACAAAAAACTTGGGTCTACTTTTACACTATTTTTTGTGATAATCTTTAATACAAAATTTTCAGTTCGTTATGTGAACTGGGTGTTGGAATGGATCGGGAGTCTGTTTCTTGGAGCACTGCTTCAGCTGATCGCTTGGGGCGGGGGGACTCCGGGAAGTTTTGTTGGCAGACTGGAACCAACAGCAGGTGATGCGGTAAAACTCGGGAGATTTGAATATTTGGGCGGAAATTCACATTGTTACACAAGAAGCTTAGTTGCGATGGAGCGGCTGATGATGCTGGATTGATGTTGGTGAATGACCAACAACATTTCCGTTGTTCTTACAGGTGGAAGAATGTCGTAGAAAACGTTGTGAGGGTCGGGATTATTTATGAGCTTGCTGAAAGAAAGAGCAGCTGTTGAGGGACGTGACGGATTAGGGCTTGAGAGATGGCGGGCGATAGAGGGAGGATTCCATACTTGGGAAGTCACGGTTATTTTGTGTCGACGTCGAGCGATGAGGAGGACAACTTCGACCGCAGTCACGAGTACTACAGCTACGAAAAGTACTGGAGAGGTGACAAGGAGCGAAGTTTGCAAGGGGCTGCGGACGAGGTTTGTGACGACAAAAACTTGCCGCAGATCGAAAGAAGCGGCTGGAATCAAAGCATTGCATACCCCGCACTCGGTAAGGCAGGTTGTGTGAGGTTCAAATGTTATCCAAATCCCGATCGGAAAATTTCCAACCATGTACCAAGCACCGAAGCTTGCCAAGATTGTGTTAACTTTCAAAGCATGAGTGTGTATTTGTCCTCGGTACAGCTCCGAAAGTCCAAAGCGTGCAGCGAAGCGTCGAATTATTCCCTTCAACGAAGTCTAGAGCTCATGGCAAGAAGCACCTACACTGACATGGAATCAGATGAATTAGCGAAGAAAGGGTCAGTGCAGGTTAGCGCCAAGAAGCGTTCAAAAGGATGCGATACAAGATCTCAATCTCTTCAATTTATTCAACCCAGTCGAGAAATTCTCGCCTGCGCAGTTATGAGGGAGCTTCCAACTAATAAACAAGTAGCACAAGTGGATCATCTCGAAGAAATCTCCGATGCTGCCAGAAATTGGATTGTGAGTCTCGGCAAGGCAAGCGACGGCAGGGTGAGCGGCAACTGCGATGACTACCTGTACCATGACCCCATAGATTCGGAGCTTTATTACAGTCATCCTCAAAGTTTTTCGCAACCCGAAGTTAAACGGCTGCTGGGGGAGGTTCAAAACTCTCATTACAAGAATACTTCCGACCTCTTCATTGTTGACTTGGAAAATAACAGCGAGGCAGCAGAACTGTATCCTTCCAACACTAACTCTACCGTTAGACCTCCGCTAAAAGAACGCAAAGGTAAAGCTGCACATTCAAAAACGAATGTTGCGGCATATAAGAGAGATTATACTAGGTCACAATTGCAGAAGGAATTGGTGTCACGAAAGCGGTCACAAGAAAGGGGTATACCTGCCATGAAGAAAAAGTATTCAACTGATGATTGTGGTCCTATACTCAAAAGCCTAGAGCTAGTGAAGACTTTTGAGAGCGACTGCTTGAGCAGAGAAGAACATTGTCTTCGAACTCGAGAGAAATCATTTCGTTACACAGACGGTGATTTGGTGACCTCGGAAGGGGAGAAGCAAAGAATACAACAAACGCGTGTCAGAATTACGCCGATGATGAAAGTCCTCATGCACATGGATAATTTCTCGCATACGGATCGTCCTTTTGCGGAAACTGATCATGAAACAGGAGGGATAGGGATTGAATGCGAGCAAGTGCCATCGTCACCTCCATGCACGAGAATTCAAAAAGATAAAAAGGATGTTTCAATAGTGGCAACAACAGAAATGGCCCCTCACAATGCTGGCGAGAGGAAGGAATTTTCGACTTGGCAATCATCTGGAGAAAGTCGAGAAACCTCTCAAATAGAAGTAGTTCTTGGTCTCATGGATAACCTCAGCACGAACACATTATCATCGTCACCAGAGGTAATTACAGCTCCAAAACATCGAGAAAATGCAGAAGCCAGAGGGATGGTCAAGCTAGGAGTTCCTGCTTACACAAGAAACAAAGCAAAGATCCTCACAAAAATAAACCAGAGTAGAGGAGTTCGAGAAATTGGCTATCAGCGATCAGATGATTCCGCAGGAAGTAATGTCATTGATATTGGTAGAAAAGAGGCAGCAAGTCCTCGCTCTAAGCATCTGCGTAGGAGGCAACTCCAAACGCTGAAAGTTGTGGATCATAACACTCCACGCAGTGATGCAAGGGCCGTAACCACGACTTTGAATTTGCCAGAAGGCAGTCGGAGAGCTGGAGATCTTAAGGGCACTACATGCACAAAAATTCTCACTACCGATACAATCCATTTAGAGAACTCGAGAACAACTCGAAAGCATTGTAATCCTAAAATAGACGACGAAATCAGCAGCTGTTTTCCAGAGAAAGAAAATAATGCTCAAAGCGAGGTCTTAGAACTCGAAGAAAAAGAAAGTATTGAGTACATGATGGCAATTAGCGAAGACCAAAGGCTTGAGATGAGCAGCTACCCACCACCTCCACAGGGTGAAGAGAAAACCTCCTTGCTCCAATACCCGAGCGCTGAATCACGTGTAGAATGCTACTCGCAGGAGGTGGTTCAGACACAAGAGCCATATTCAGAGCTAGATGTTGATGTTCAAAGCAACACGCTGCTGCAGCTACTACGAGAAATGCAAAACCATCGTCCTGGACCTGCTACGATTTGTGACAACACAAACGCAGTAAAAACTGGAGGAATGGTGGATCCTGCGCCTCAGCGTGGATCATACCTAGCCCAGTATCTGAAAAAACAGAGCAGGGCTGGAGCACGAAGAATAAGTATGGACAAATAGATCTGCATTCTTTGATTTCCAAGTCTTGAAACCCATCGCCACAGATTTCAACATCAATTTCTAACACCGCGCAATGCGTTCAGGATAGTCGGTGAATTTCTAAATCCGCTGGACTATTGTACCTGTGCATGTGTATTTGTTTGATTGTTGGGTTTTCTACCCATTGTTTAATGGAAAAGAAGAAGTTTGGATCGGTAGCTGTTACAAGAAAAAGTTTCATACGTGTTAGAAGGAGCTTTACTGCTGTGCTGGGTAACTCGAGTACATGGAGATGATGGATCAGGACGGGGAATGGAGGGGTAGGGTCCCAGAGGACTACCATTCCCTGCCAAAATAAAAACTTCTGTGACACCAATTACTACCATGTTTATTGAGCGGTTGATCCCAAAGTCCTGCACTTCACACGTGTTCCAAGGACATGCACTTGAGAGATACATTTGTGTTGGGACCATTAAATTTGTTGAAACACTCCATCTCCAGGTAGTATCTGTATCATCCATGGGCACATGCAAACCATCGGAGATGAGGCTTACATCGCAGAGTTAAACTCGGTAGGAAGGTCTATGTCGGAGAGTTTTGTTCCAGTCTAGAAACTCGATGACGGTAAATGATGTAAAGATTACTACACCATTTATTCAATTCACAAGTGTCCAGGATTCAAGCTTTAGTGGTGGAAGGTAGGACCAAGTTGTATGAAAGATGTACTATTCTGTATACGAGGAATTAAAGCGAAAAACGCGATTGATGGGGTTCAAGAATATTTGATGTTGTAAGTCAACATTGATCCTTCTGAAGCGCCAAAACAGACGTAAAAATTTCTTCTTAGCATAAATGTTATTTGTTGGTATTTTCTCGTTTACGAGAATGCTCAGCCAACTGAGGGGAATGTTCATCCCTGACATCAGAATGACGTACTCAAATTTTGTCGCATCATGTGAAAAAACCGCACACGTTCCATGTGCAGCATCACCACTCACAATTAGTAATGTAGTGATATGAACACATTTCTCTTAATGCAGAGGCCCCGAATGCATTTCTCTCACGGTTTTCTCCATCTCTGCCTTCATCTGCCTCAATTGGGTACCACACAATTCAATTTCAATTTCAAAACTTCGATGCGCAGGTACACAGCTCTTCTCTGCAACATCACCTTCATCATTTCCGTCCCGTACAACTTCAACAAGTCCACGGCTTCCGATAACATACAATACACAAATACCTTAATTGCTAAACTCTCTCACCCGAGATGAAGGTGCTGCAACTGCACTCTCGTCCTGTTGCAATACAACTCCAAAAGCTTCCACAAGCTGAATACGCATACTGTGTAAATCGCGCCGATTTCACGGCATGGAAGTCCTGCGAAAATCAACTCGACTTCTTCCCTTCTTGGTTAAAAACTCGATGACTAAACTCCAGGTCGCGCAGAGTATCCAGTACCTCCGCACGTTTCACATCTCCGTGCCAAATGATCTCAGAGGCCACTGAGCGTCGATTCCTTCCTGAGGGCAATCTATCCGTCTGCGCTGGCTCCACACCCCCCTTGCTTCTTTCTCTCCACATTCTCAACGCTGCGATGCAACACTTCGCACCCACCTACGCTTTGAGCGCAGTCCCTGTTGCCCGACCATCTCGAAAAACTAGCCTCCTATTGAAGCTCACAACTCACTTCACATCACATGAGTTGTACTCTTCTCTCACATAACCAAAACGGTGACTTGCAGCTCGGCTGCAAACCGCAACCCTTCATTCCATTCTCTTCGCCATACAATGCGGATTCCAAAAAAATAGAGCCACCATCACTCCCCTCATCAAGGATTGCGATGCACTGGGATTGTTCAAGAATTCCCTCCATTCATCTTCCAAAATGAACACCATCCTACTAAACAGAGGAACTAGAAGCCTCGCGCGTACAACGTCAGAATCCAACAGCATGAATGGCAAACACAGATCCCAGCCACTCGACCCCAAGTGACGGTCCCCACCCTAAGCTGTGATGGGAGTCCACTGGAAAGGTGAGAAAATAAACAGACACAACCAAAACCAATGAAATGAAACATATTCTACTCTGCATCGCCGGCAGACGGATCATGTGCCGCTTGTCGCACAAACAGTCCACGTACTCGCGGTCTTTGTTCCGCAAGCTTTTTCCTGCTTTGATAGCGCACCTGAATACAACACATCACCACAGCTTTATCGTCAGTGCACCATCCCACCGCAATACCTCTCCTACCTACCACACATCCTCTTTTCTCACCACATACACTCGCTCCATGGTGCCCGTCAGATGCGACCGCGGCCCAAATGCAACTCGCCTGAACCTGAACCGCCAAACAACCAAGCTGCCGATACTCCGGTATATTCCATGTGCCAACGTCCATCCAACTCATCACCACACGGAATCTCAAGAAAAGGCATGCAAAGCCGTACCTTCTTCTCAAAGCACCGCTCCTTTCTCTTCTGCCTGAACTTGTTCAAGGCAGCCTCTCGTCTGGCAAAACGTATCTGTTCCGTGCACAACCCGTTGCCCCCGCTCACCCCATCCATTGCTGGATGCGTCCCACCCACTCCATTATTCCCGCTGTTGGCGTTCGCCATCGGGGTCACGACAAGTCCGTTCTGTCCATTGTTCACGCCCGTATTGCTTCCCGAAGCGCTTCCGTTCATGGACCCGTTCCCGTTCCCCGTGCTTCCGTACCCGTTGCTGCTCCCGCTTTGACCATCCACCCCGGTCGACCCACACCGTGGAGCCCCCGACATGGGAGTGATCACCGACTGTTGCTGCTCGTGTTGCACTCCTGCATTTCCAGATGGTTGCCCGCCGTCCCCGTGGTGGTGGTGCGTGTGCTGGTGGCTCGGTCCAGCTTGGGAGTGATGCCCAGAACCGGGATTCTGTTCTTGAAATGCGGGTGTTTGACTGTATACGTCCACCCTCTCTCCCATGTGTCGGGCCGATGCTGCCATCCACGCGCTCGCGTGCGCATAATACATCGGGTGCATGGCCGGACCATACGCTCCACCCATGCCATCGTAAGCCAGCATCCCAGGCGGTGGGATTGGAATCGCCATCGGCACTCCAGGTGCTATCATTGCCTCCTCCGCGCTCTGCCTTGCACTGCCGTACCCATCCGCTCCGCCGCCGTCCTGCCCTCCAGCTGCTTCCGCGCTCTGGGGATGCAGAGGAGGGGGCGTCGTTCCCTCCGCGCTCCCTTTCGACGACCCACAACGCTCCATTCCCATCCCCAGACGAAGAGATCCTCCGGACGTGCCGCCAGACATGCCGTACACTCCGTATCCACCAGACATCGGATACCCGCCCACAGGAAGTGAATTCCCGGGCTGGTGACATTGTTGTATGATGGTTCCTCCGCTGCCATACCTGAAACGGGTTGCCACAACACTGTGCAATACCCGTCACTTCAAAGCGTCCAGAACAAACAAACACAAACACCTCCCGCTCATGCAATCCACCAAGCTCTCACCATCGGCCAAGCTCAACATCGCACTTCACTAACTGCACGCCCAGCAATGCCCAAAACTACAGCTCTCATCAGTGCAACCGTAATTTGTCTGAACTGCACCTAGAGAAGGCCGACCCTCCCGAGTGCCGCAGGGGTTGACGCTCTTCTGTATCTCCATCGTTGTCCACGGCCGATCGAGGCCGTTTCAAACTCAACTCCAGCATGGAACCGAAGTCTGACCCGGAGTGGTCTTTCGGACTGCTCCTCCCCCGCTGATCCAGTTCTCCGTCATCGTTCTCACTCCCTTCAGCTTGCTCTGCACCCTGCGTCTGTGGCTGACAAGCTATACCATTTATCAGGTCCACGGCCTTCAGAGAAGACTCCTCGGTAGTACCATCTTTTCCGCTGGTTGATGGACTCTCGACGTTGTCTTCTCCGGGTGATGGCCCTACATCTTGCATCACACACGCATCATCGTCGTCTTGTTGCCGCCCAACATCCGGCTGCTGATCCAGCTTTGCGGTATTACAAGTAGACCGACGAGTTGCCATCTCCAAGTCATGCCCCATCTCTTCATCTGCCAAACCTACCACATGTAAGCATCCCAAGATCCTCACACCTCTACTCACAGCACAAGGCACAGCCACTAGATCATGAGAACATTCACACAACCTCAGTTTCAAGTAATTGACTACGACGGGAACTCTACCCACTTCAAATTGCGCGCCCACTCTAATTTGTGAGACAAACACTTCCAAACTACCGACAAGCTCAAGCATGAAAAACCAGCAATCCATCTGCCCCAACTTCAGCGCCCAAATCATGCACTACATGTTACACCAGACAAAACCATTCTCAGATCACCTCACACTTCCTGAAACACGCCTGGACATCCATTACCACCGCGCCAGGTTATCCCAAATATTTCATCCCCATATCCCGTCCCTCGCCAGGTATGCAACAACTGACCCTTGACACTAATCATTCCAAACCCCGCAACTCACCCAGGTTGGCACCCGTCTCTTGAGAAGTCGCTTGCCCCTCCTCGTCTCCATCTGCAGCTGCCGTTACTGCGTTGTTCATTGGCACCAGTACGGGTAGTGTGCGAGCCTGCACCCATTGCTCTCGAAGTCAGATAATCCTCTTGCACACAACCGGCTGTGGAAACTCGCTTTCCGCAAACCGACCGAGCCTAAAAGACAATCAGTATCCTCCGCGACGACAACGGCATGCGTGCGTTCACATAACGGCGTCACTTACTTGATTACCACTGCCATTGTCACTCCCACCCTGAGCATTCAACCGGCTGCTCCCATTGTCACTACCGTCGCTGCTGCCGTTCCCATCATTGCTTCCACTGGGATTGTCATCCGCCTCAACTCCACGACTCTGCGGCCTGGCTACTTCGCCAGTCTGGCTGCCACTCCCGCTTTTGCTTCCACTCGACTGTTCAAATCCACATGTGACAGGTCACGCACCGTCCGTACAATCTCAGCAGCCCATAAGGACCCTTCACTGAACCCACATTCTTTCGAGACATACAACCACACTAGTTGAGCAAATGTAAGCAATCGGAACCATCACTTACGCTGTGGCACTTCCTCCACACGTGTTGCCATAGATTCCTCAACTCGTTCTTCCTCACAGGTTTTACGAGATAGTCGCACGCTCCTTTCGAAAGGCAGCGGAACACAATGTCCAGGCTGTCGTAGGACGACATGACTGCAGACAACACATAGCTCAGTTCACCTGAACGCATGAGAACATCTTGAGTTGAACATGAAACCCACTCACGTGCCCGAGATACAGCGCGCCCGGGCTGGCATGCGAAACCATGAGACACTTGTTGACATGAGGTGACTTAACCTCCGCTGACGCGCTGGGCAGCATAATGCCGAGGTGAGAGGGGATTGAGACTTACTGACAATAGGCACTCTTCTGCAAGCCTCCCGTTTCATCATCTTCGACAGAAGCCCAACTCCGGACAGACGTGGCATCACCACGTCAGTCAAAACCAAGTCGAAATTGCTGTTCGCGTCTTCCAGCAGCCCCCAGGCAATCGACCCATTCGCAACCGCAGTGACTGGGACAGGCACAAACCTTCCAGTTCAGGTCTAGACTCCACATCAAAAAACCAACGACGACATGCTACCATTAGGACAGTTTCGACCATCCTAGTTGAGCCAGCGGAGTGCAACTCCATGTACCTCTACACCGTTCCTCTCTTAAAATTTCACACTCACAGGTAATTTTCATAAAATTGGCAACCGTATAATGACTGCGACGAGTAAGAGCACCTCCCTGTGACCTTCTCCTATAATTGCCATGCATCTGTTCCAATATGATTGTACAAACAAACACAGTGTCAAGTTCTAGATCCACTAGAGTGAGGCATAGTTGTTATAAGACTATTTCAATTACACAATTTAGTTTTTTCATTTATTCATGTTTTTTTTATTTGATCAATGTTTTGTGTTTTGTATAACTAGCGCGCATACGCATCACACACGTCTACTGGAATCAGGAAGAATAACGACCTTCATAGTCACAGTTACGAAGTAGAGCTCCCACCACGTGCCTTGTTGCGTCGTCATACTCCACCAGTAAAATTCTCAGACTCCGTTTCAGTAGGAAGCTTTCCCAGCCAACCCCACCCTGGGTTTTTGCAGCCACATCACCCCCATGCTGCTGCTGCTCTTTCGTCCGAGCTATTCCCTGTGACCTCGCCTTGTCGCGCGCAACAGCAGCCACAGCGTCTCCTTCTTCATAGTGATCTTCGGCGCTACCGTCTCTGCGTCCATCGTCGTCCGACTCCGATGTTCGCAGCACGTCGTTCCCTGGGAACTGGTGATCCAACTCTCTCCTTATCTGCTCTGCAATGTCCTTAAGATCTTCCCGTGTCTTCAGAACAGAAACTGCTGAACGGCCGGCCACGTTGCGCCCCTTCTCCAGCCTCGCGCCGTTCTCACTGTCCTCTGCGACTTTACTACCAACCTGCTCTCTACCCCTATCTACTTCCTTGTGCGCCTTGTACCCACCCTTAATCCTCCATTCTGCACCCACCGGAGCTTCCACATTGAGCTCAGCGCATGCGGTCCCCCCAGCCAACAGCGGCCGTAGAGGCCTCGACTCCGGCTCAGCCTTACACGAATCCCCAGTCATAAAGTGAACTCCACTCCTCCTACACCTGCTGTTTGGTTACACGGCCCTCCACCTGCTCCTCCACAAGCTCTACCCTTCAGATCCCTGCCCAACGCTCAATCTATATCTCGGAACTCCGGGGGGTCTCCGTCGCAGTTCGCAAGACATTCGCTACCACTCGTGACGAAATCGTATGACCTCTTGGGCACTCTCAACTGTCCACACAACCAAGTCCACACGGCACCTCCATGTTAACACTTCATGCCACACTTGCTCTACACATATACCATCGTGCATATACTCATTATCATACAACGGCGCCTCAACACAGGTCGTACAACTCTATAAGATGCTCCAGACATGTCAAATGGTTCACGCATGCTTCATTTGGTCTACTGCCCCAGCGTCCACAAGTTCCAGATACATAAGTTACACAAGCGACGCAATCTCGGGCCTCAACTTTGAAGATCACATCCCAGGATACACATAGATGCACGAAAAGCTCGCCTTGAAACATCAGATGGTCGTTCTGACCTGTGCCCCGCCAGCAAAACACTCGCTCACCGCTCCCACTTCTTCGAAATTACAAAGATACCCACTCGGAAATCGTGAATCACACCATCGTGCTACGGAAATGCTATCATATTTGGCTTTGGGAATCTAAGGCCCAAAACAGCATACCTCACAGAAGCACCGACGAATGCAGTTCACAGTTAATCAAACAACATGGACATATGAAAAATTAGATAGACGTCAGCGAACACGAGCGGGCTCTCCACCACACACGCATACACCCTACTCGCGCTGATCACTAAAACCGCTGTCCCAAAGTGCGGCAACACCCCGAGCCGCACAGACAGCGTCGAATTATGCCCTGCCCAACACCACTTTCGCTGCGTCGGACAGAATCTGAAACGGAGAACCTCGGCACAACAACGGATGCCGCGCGGCACACTCAAATCTCAACCGATTCGACCCTGGTTTCGACGATGCTAAAGTCAGCTAAGCACAAGCACTCGAGAGAGCATCACACTGCAACGAAGGGAAAACCTAATCACGGACGACAAACGGAAAATTGTGCAGGAGAGCTCGGCTATGGCGGCAACGCGGGGAGCAGGAGGGCAGAGCAGGCAGACCTCAGAAACGAGCGAGGGCGGACGGAAGTGGTTATAGGATGTGATCACGTGGCACGCTGGAGTGCGCAAATTTGATTGTGAACCTATAGCCGCATCCATAGGGAGGAGCAGATACAGATTTACCCCCAGTCGCCTAACTCCGCCCTTGAGGAGGCGAAATATCTGCCCCGGCCCTCGGCTCCTCAGAGCCCAGCAATTGATTTGCCCAGCTGGCCCCGCTGGGACACGCTGGGCCAATGGAGCTGGTCCCCTTCTGGTCCGAGCTGGCAGTCGGTACTTCCCGTTCTCCCCCTTCCCCGTTTATTTACATCCAACGTCAGATGCGGCCATCGCTGATGATTGGGACCTGGACCGGAAGAACTATCCGATGAACGAACAGAGAGAAATACAGGCGATTTATCATCCCAATCCCCGGCCCCGGGCAGCTTGTTATTTCAGTGGACTGTTGATGCAAAGGGCAGTGAGTTCTAAAATTGGGTCGTTGGCTCATCACAGGACCATGGAGTTTGAGTTCAATATTGGGGGCATGCACACCTGTCAACATGTTGCCATGCGGTGAAGCGCATTTTTTTTTAATAATAACTCAGGGTTGTGGTTAATATCTTGAAAATAGAATTTTTCAACAAAACATGAAGAAACTCACTGTTCACAAACACACTTACAATTTTGCTTGTGCAGTAAATAAGACGCTGAGTGAATACATCCATCATCAGCTTTTAAAGGATTTTGCAGTTGTAAAGTCATTGCAAAATTGTGCGGAAGTACTTGAACAACTAATTCAATGTCCACGGTGAGCAACTTTTCATTCGTAGTGCCCCCATCTGTCATCGTGGTTGCGTGTAGGGCCTTACGTTGGTGATTATGGAGCCACTGGTAATTAACAAAGAACCTATAATTAATATTTAAGAAAAATTATATGTATGAGTGTTTGCAGTAAAAGGTCTATGTTCGTGTAGACTCCACCGCGATATTTACTCATCTGCTAACTCGTACCTAAGCATTGTGAAATTTGGGACTATATCGCTGCTACGAGAGTCGAACCTGAGCGACACGGTGTGTACGCGCGGAATTTGATGATTTGGGTGCATGAAAGCTACAAAGCAAGGTCTCATGATCATCCCCGCACTCCGTTGAGGTTTGAGTAGTCGGAATTCGTTTGCGCATTGTCGTTGCGTAGGGCAATCGATTTTGGAGCTGGAGAAGTGGACCAAATTGTCAAAATTGCATAATTCCTTGGAGGTTGTAACACTCCTCTGACGGGACGAATCTGTTTATCGTACATTCTCCTTCCTAGTAACCCTGAGCGTGTTGACAAGATTCAGGAAGCATCACCACCGTCACACAACACAAGCAGTAGTCAGAAAGGGAATTGTCGGTGGTTGTCGGGGGCCAGATTTACATCAGCATGTGACAAGAGGTTGTGCATGCGTTGCAAGAAGCAGGAGCCAGAAGCTTCGTTGCAGAAAGCTTCAGGTGATTTAGCAGGGGTTTGGTGCCTTGCGATCGATTCGCAAGGTCAGAACACTGTAGGAGAGTAAGTTCCTTTGGGGAAGAGGTTTCCGATGTTTCTGGGTCTGACAGTGGCCACTATGGGGAATTGCACAATTAACACAGGTGCACTGAAATCGTATTGCGATCAAGTCCAAAAACCTATGCAAGGATAGCAACGGTAGTCTCAGGAGTGAAAGGACGCTGGAGTCAGCAGGTGGTGCTTGAATTTGCAGGCTCAGGGACTTGGTGGAGGTGCGTTTACGAGCACCTGTGAGGGCTCTGCTCAAAAGACTTGTGATTTGGGTGACATCCCAAATCAGGGCCTGAAGGGAAGTTCCAAAATTCCAGTGAGGTCTTTATGACTCTTTGATCACAAGTCACTGTAACAGGGTGACTGGTTTAGCAGGTCACCAACGGCTCACGCGGCATAGTGGTGATGTGGCAAGGTTGACGTGGACAGATGTGATGGATGAAGGATGCGAATGCTCATAACCTTATGTATTGTATTTTATACACCGTATGCTCAATTTTGAAATTAGGATAGAAAGACAGTTTAGGGCTTTTAGATTGGAAAATTTAAAAGAGGCAAGAAAGAGTTCTTGGGGGAGGCAAATAGGACATACAAGGCATACAAAGGGTGCATAAAGGACATTAAAATTAGATGTGTGGATGTTGTATTATGGCAAAGAATTGAGCGTTTTTTTTATTTTTTTATTTTTTTATTCTTTATTTTCCAATAGGTCTCCAAAACTTAATTTATTGATGCATGTAGCATCTAGCAAGATCTTCTGCAGTGAATGGGGGACCAGTGTAAGCAGGAATTGTTTTGGCATAGAATCATGATTGAATTTAGATTTAAAGAGAATTTAAAATAATTAAGCAAGACATTACCTGTTTTTTTTAATTATAAAGTTAAAGAGAGGATCTAACTATGTTATAATGTTGAAGAGCAAGGACCAACATTGAAATTGTAAAAATGATCAAAGAAGCAAAAAATACAATTGTAGATGTATTGGTTTTGTCAAAACCTAGTATCAACTGATTACAAATAACATGCAAAGGTGCATAGGGAATTGACTTAAAATAGAACATAATTATATGAAGTAAAAATAGCAAAATGTTCTGGACAAATTTGATGGTTGTGATAATTTCGTTAAATATTACACAAAAATTTAACCAAATAAAGAGTCCATTGATTGAAATTCGCAAACATACCAAATTTCTTAAATAATAATTTACAGTGAATGGAACATGAAATGTACGTATATATATACGGTCCATACTACAACATATATAAAAAAGATATTACATATATATATATATATATATATATATAAAGTTTGCATTTTAAAAATATTCATTAGAAATACCAAATTAATATTTGTAGCTTAAATTATACAGACTGTTTTGATTTTAATTTTATCTAATATAATAATTTATAGAAATACATAGATACATTAAAAAAACACACCCTACAATAGATTCGTGATTTTTTTTGATTTATTAGGTTTGCATTTACAAAGTCACAAATTAGATATAAAAAAATTGTATTTTATTTTATATTTCAAAATCTTTAGAAACTAGAATTTTATTTCTTAGACGTGGTGGATGATTTTAGATAGAAAAAAAAAAAAAAAAAATAACAGAACAATACCAATAGTGTACATCACTTTATTCTTAAAATTAAGAATTTAGAAAATTTTAAAAAATTAATTTTATAGATTTAAAAATAAATATATTAAAGTTTATTAAATTTAAAAAACTCTGTTTAAAAAAAACCAACCACATATTGCTAAAACACTTATTAAAAAAGGCTTAAAAATTGTAATTGAATTGTACAATGACTATTCTCTACTGTAAAGCGTGGCTTTAAAATGTTCTATTCACTTCAACTGTACCATAGTTTGATGGATCTATTTATAGTAAGTTGTACATTTATTTTTTGGATATTTTAGACAAAAAACCAATATCAGAATTTTCGAAATGATATATAATTGCAATTTATTACCACAAAGTTGCATAGAAATTAGAATTTTATCAAAGATATACTTAAGAATAAAATAATAAATTAGTACCAATAAAATAAAAATAAAAATAACGAACCCTGAATAGAAATTATGTTTTTAAGACTCCTTAGAATATTTTGAAATCTCTCTATGTAAATGTAACACAAAAGGAAGCATGGAGAATGTACACTAAAACAAAACACAAGTGACTACTTCTTGTGAGATATTACAACTTCAAAGAATTTAAATACTAGGTGATTGCAAAAATATTAAAATTATAATACACATTAAAAAAATAGTTAGAATATTTTATTAATTTATTTCGTATTTTTCAAAAGATTAACAAAATATTATCAAAAAGTATTATTTTCTATTATATCTTCTTACAATTAAAATATATTTTTTAACCACTCTTCAAAATAAGCCAAAAAACAAAAACCAGATAATATTAATTTCCACTATTTCCTCAAAAGAAAAGATAATAGGTACCAATTTTTGAATAAAATAATGCACCAGTAACTACCAAGATCTTTTACAACCATATATATATATATATATATACACACACATACATACTTGAATTACACACACACACACACACACACACATATATATATATATATATATATATGTATATATTCAGTGTTTTAAATGAAATAATTTGACAAAAAATGCAAATAAAAATTGAATCAAAATGATACAAAAATATGTGAAAAACTACAGATCAATAAAAACATATATATAAAAGATGGAAATTGGATTATTTTTAATTAATATTCATTTTTTATAATCATAATATAGATTTTACCAAAATAATAATAATTTTATTAGTAGTAAATAGAAATAATACTCTTTGAGGTTGATATTTTAATAATATTTGTATACAAATTTACAAGTAACAAGAACTAAGAAAAAAAAATCTTCCTAAAAGAATTTTTATCCTTTTTAATATTTTTAGTTTTTATAGATCTTTTGTATCAAGATTTATATTAAATCTTGGTGACGTATTTTACTTTTAAAATGATCTAATAATAATTAAAAAGAAAGTTTCATAATTTTTATCAAACAATGACTGACAGAAAGTTTCATTCTATATTTAAATAAAATACACATCAGATAATTTTTATAAAACATTTTCATCTATAGGATTGAAAACACCATCAATCTTAAAGAAAAACTAAAACATATAAAAAATATTTTAAATTTTTTGTTGGTGCTATTCTTTAAAAACCTAATATTATGATTTAAAACTTTTAGTATGTAAAAACTATGACCAATATGGGCTTTTGTAGAAATAATTGTAAATCAATAATCTGGTTGACAAAGGTTTGTCTAATGAAACAAAACACACTTTATTTACACTACTGTGATTACTTGGTATTATAAATTCTTATCTTTGTATGTTAAATCAACTTTTACTGTAATATTAACACTAAATATTTTCCTTCTAATATTAACACCTTTGATCAAAGCACCTAAGCCTAAATATATTTTAAT